GGCAGACGGTTGACATCTCGAGCTCAGGACGGGCACGTGGCAGTTCCTAGCGTTTGGAACTCCGCCACGTAAATTTGCAATGGGTCAAAGTGAAACACTGAGATTTTCATATACTTAGGAGAGGGTGCAACGTTTCAAACCTGGGGGAATCCTAGGAAGTTATTTTCTGAGAGAACAACGCTATGAGTAAAGATAGGTTTTCTGGCTTTCGTCTGAATGAACAGGAGGTGGAAAAAATTCTTACAGAAATGAAGTCCTTAAGGTTGTAGTGCGATCGTGCTTTTCTCATGACGGTCATTTTTAATGTTTGTGTCGATCCAGCTTACAGTGATTTTTATGCCATAATAATGTAGTAGTTATCACTTTTCAACGTAATTATAACATGTGTGCTAGCTTTAACGAGAGCCTGTAAGGAGATTAGAATAAAAACGTTCCATGACACGGCTTTTGTTACAAATGGAGAAGAACTGTTTTTTTCAATCGCAAGTGTGAAGTTCTGTAGGGAGACAGAATCGGATGCCGCACGTGTCATACTTTATAATCGTTCGTGAACCATTGACTTTCGTCTCCTCTGTAGGTTTGTCGCCTTTAGATGAGGGGAAGCAGCATTAGGATGTGCTGGAGTCTGGTTCTGGAAAGCTCGAATTGCTTATCCACGATCACATAACCCAGACCCAGAACTATTCATTATAACCAAAATGGAAACTATTTATAAAAATATAAACAGATCAAAAGTGACTCTTTTATTAAATAAGAACCACTGGGTGGAGAAAATTTATGAAAACAATAAGGAAGTTTTAAGTTACCAGATCATTCAGTCCCAAATGAGTTACTACAAACCTAAAGAGCGTCTTACGCAGGCCAAAAGGGAAAAAGAAACTTGTTTCACAGATGCGCACGCACAAAACGTGGCAGCGCGCGCGATCTGTTGGTTCGCTGACCCCAGGGAGGAGCAGTATCTGTATGTGTCGGCCGAATCCTGCGAAGGAAGCAGAGGTGGGGAGAGGCCGATCCCAGACCGGCCCGCGGGGAGTGGGGAGCTGGGCGCTCGCCCTTCCTGGGGCCTTGGTCCTAGGCAGCGTCTGCTCAGCGTCGTGCATACATCATGCAATATGAGCAGAGCAGAGGGCGGTGCCCAGCGGCGTGACTGGCTCAGGTGGCATGTCATCGATGAAGGGGAGGTCAGAGCAAAGCCGGCTCGGAGACTCCGCGGGAGAAGTTTTCGGCCGCACCCGTGGAGAGGGCGGTGCCCAGCGGCGTGACTGGCTCAGGTGACATGTCCAGCGATGAAAGGGAGGTCAGAGCAAAGTCGGCTCGGAGACTCCGCGGGAGAAGGCTTCGGCCGCACCCGTGCCTCGGTGGTGACCGAAGGCGTTTCTGTGCTCCTTCCCAGCACGGTTGGCACCCAGGAGGTCTTTCGTTCATACGCGAGATGATAAGAACGGGCAAAGACCAGGAAGCAAAGCGACATCAGGGGTCAGTCTCTGTCCCTCTGTCTGCCCAGCCACCCATCTGTCCATCCATCCAGTTCAAGAAAGCAGAAGGAAAGTTCTCGATCGGCTCCTGCGTCCTGAGCGCCTGTGTCACACTCACTTCCAGCGACCGCCGTGCCTGTTGTTGTGGCCACGTGAAACGTGTGGCTCTGACACCGCCACGGAAGGGTCGCGTGACGGTCAGCAGCCTCCCCTGCAAGGCGGTGGCTCGGGCAGTGTGTGCTGCAGGAAGGTTTCCTTCTCTCCATTGGATTGATGGTTCCTGGGGGAAGAAATCATCTCTTTCCCCGCCGGAGCCTTTGATGTCTAGCACAATGTTTTCTACGTAGCACGTAAAGTATTTGTGACAGCGAACCGAATAAAAGTCATTTCAGTTTTTGAGGAAAAGAAATCGCGTCGTTCAGATTCCAGTATTTCTATGGTTAGGGGACTCGGCCAGGAACAACGCACTGCCCTGAGCTCCTGCTCCCTCAACCCTCAGAAAAGAGGGTGTTTTTCTGGGTAGAATTAAGGATTCAGTTACCAAAGTGTCTTTAGCCATGAGGAGGATCCATTCCTGAGACATTTGGGGGACATTTAACAGAGGAGGATATTGTAAGGCAGGCCAGACGAGTGGATTATGCTCTCCAGTTCTGCATCGTGTGGCCAGCCAGAGGCTCCCTGCCTCCTGCTTCTCCGGGGTGACCCTCAGCTCGATGACTTGGATGCTGCCAGCCCTTAGCCTCATGCAGCACCCTGAGCTCAGGGTGGGACTGAGCCCGGTAGAACTCAGGTGGGACGGTGGCCCTTCTATGCCTGTACCCGTGGCTTGGTGAGGACATCCTGGCCTATCACACATCCCTTAAGAGACCACATTTTCTTCCACGAGAATCAGTGTCATGTAGTAGAAAGAACGGTAGGCTCTTGAATCTGTGGTCTGCTATTTCAGTGACCAGATTCATCCCAAGCAGTGAGCTGTAACTTCCTTGAGCTTCGGTTTTCATTATTACGAAATGCATTTTATAATTTCTGCCCTGCAGAGTGTCAGATCATACGAAATAACTTGTTCAATGTGCCGGGTGGGGGCTTGAAAGCACAGTACACTCATTAGGCCAGCTTTCAGTAGCTTTGCTGACAAGTAATGTGTAGTTACCTTACTACCACTGATAATGGTTCAAAATAAGGAAAATTATAGGAAACTTTTTACTAATAAGCTATGCAGTTATAATTGTGTTATTTAGGCTATGTCAGTAACTCTAATGCAAGGGAAATTAGGCAGTGTCGTTTCTGATGAACCTCTTTGCACAATAATTACAAACTAGGTACTCTTGACCCAATTAATCCAATACTTTGACTCTAGTTAATCTTCATCAGAGACTCTCCCACCTTCCCGACAGAATTATGGCTGCCTCCACAGTATTCAACAGGCTTACCAAAACTCCAGCATTTTCACTTAAATCTAGTAAGATCCTATTAACACTGCTGCGCGGGTCAGAGCGTTCTCAGATAGAAACGCCCTACTTGCCACACAGCTGTCCTTAGTGTAAGCGCAGCATTTTGCCTCTCCAGGCCCTCGTCCGCTTGGTGTTTCTTCCAGAGCTTCTGTTAAACTGCTCTTTGAATCCTAAAAAAGTGGTTTCCCATTCTAAATAGTATACTTTAAAGGAACTCAAATCTTGTCCTACAGTTTTATCGATAGCATGCCTTATCACCTGTAGTTTAATATTTGTTTTTAACAAGTTACCATAAAAATAAAAACCAGCGGCGTCATGCTTTTTGCAATTTGCCATTTGCCTCGTTTCACTTGGAGACTGGGGGTTGCTGGAAACCCCCGGGCCTTCTGCTCGTGACCCCTTTATGAACAGATGAAATGGGCTCAGGAGTGGCCAGGTTTTCTAAACCATAGAATGTGTGGACAGAAGCTCCGAAAATAGAGGTTTGGAGTTTTGGCTCTCTTTCAGTCTGAGTACAGGACATACAGTACAATATTCATTCATTCAATAAATATTTCACTCCTATAATGTGCCAAGTACTCTAGGTCTTGCAGAAAACGCATTGAGCAGAGTAGACAAAGACTCTGCCTTTACAACGCGTGCTCTCTTGCAGGGAGGAGCGGGCGGTATATTTTTGAGAGGAGAGCGCTATGCTACCCCCTTGGCTGTCAGTGGGGAAAAAAGTCCTAATCTTTAGCATCTGCTGACCCTGGCTGGTTTCAGGCACGACGTCACCGAGCGGGAGTTGGGAAGAGGGGTGCATCATTGGCGGTCTGGAGTTGGGGAGCTCCAGGAGAGGCAGCCAGGAAACGAAAGAAATCCGCAGAACACGTAACATGTCTGTGCTCTGTGTCACGGAGGATAACGAAGCAGGGAAGGGGGAGTAGGGAACATTACAGGAAGGTTGCTGTCGCAGAGCTGGTGGTCAGGGAAGGCCTTGCCGAAATGGTGGCATTCGGAATAACACCAGAGGCAGCGAGAGAGCAAGCGTGCAGGTGTCTGGGAAGCGAGATCCAGGTGGAGGGAACAGCAGGTGCATGACGGTGACGTGAGCAGGTGCCGGGCACGTGTGAGGGAAAGTAGCGAAGCCAACGAGAGGTGGGACAAGCAGGAGGCAGCGTCCGTGTGGCGCCTGCAGGCCACCCGGAGGACTCGGCTCTTTCCGTGCGTGAGATGGGACTTCAGATGGTCTCGAGCACAGGAGTGACATGGTCTAATTAAACATTTTAACCCACATGGCTTCTCTCACGAGAGTAGACTAAATGGAGAAAGGGCCGGAAACTCAGAGACGGGTTGGGAATGACGTGATGAGCTAGGTGAGAGATGGTTTTGACCCGGGTGGTTAGAGCTGGCCTTATCCTGGGTTTATTTTGCGCTAGAGGCAACACGATCTGCTGACCGATTGCGTGTATCGGGTGTGGCGGGAGGAGGTGAGTCAAAGATGACACTCGGGCGTCTGGTGTAGACGTCAGTCAGACCTGAGGTTGTGTTGGTTGGTTGGTTGGTTGGTTGGCTGGCTGGCTGGTTGGTTTTCTTTTGAGGTCAGACTTAGATTCCGTTCCTGCCTTTCACCCTCCCTTCGGGCAGACCTGTAGCCTTGACCATGGATGACCATGGATGATCAGTGCCATGCTTATATCACTGCATTCCCGGTGCCCAGCAGATCACAGGCATTGCGTAATTATTTGTAGCCTGAATGCTGTTGTATCTTTCTCCTTGGTTTAGTTTCCGTAACTGTGAGATCTGAATAATAAAACTGACTTTACAGATGGTTCTGAAGACGAAGTGAAAAACGATGTGTCCACACTACTCGGCACATCTGTCCGATCGACATTAAACACTGACACATGGAGGCCGTGGCCGTCGTCATCATCATCCGTGTTCTCTGTCATTTCGCACGTTGAAGTGGGACGGACCACACCGTGAGCATGCAGAAGGGGCACTTCTCCGTAGGGGAACTAATGGTGGCTAATTTTCACCACGTTCATTAAGACTTTTCCACTAAGAGCCCTCTTTTGAGTAGCTCGGAAATAGAGGACTCGCATATCTACAAGCCATACAGTTCGAACTACGTCAGCCGCCTCTCTGCAGATGGAGGGGACGGGACGTGTCCCCTCCCTGACACGGAAGTAGAGCGGAAGCAGCGGAAACATCCCCCCGGCCCTCGCTTCCCGCACGCGAATATTACTCACCACGATGATGGGTGTTTTAAAATGGCTTTTGGAGTAAGAATGAAATGCCGTGGTGGCGGTGCCGGCAGACGGGCAGGGACCGAACCCTTCGAGGACAGCGCGCTTCCGTGGTCACAGCAGAGCCAGAGGCTGCCAAGTCGCCCCTCCCCGCCCCGCCCAGATGTCTAATGTCTGTCATAACTCACCCTACATGGCGACAGAACCAGATGCGAATGTGTAGTGTCATTTATTTTTTCTTATTTTTATATTTTGTCCTTAACAGTTTCGAAAATCTTTTTAAAGCTCCAGAGGTCGAATTTAGCTGGGAGCGAGCAAGTGAGAATTTGGCAGAACATCTGTGTTCCTGAAGTTTGCATTTTTAAGCCGTGCATGAATACCCGACTGCCTTTCCAGATGAGCGTATTAATTCCACACATTCCGAAGAGGAATTCGCAGAACCAGTGAATAGGAGCGTGTCTGGTAACTGAGACTACAGATTTTAAAACTGTCTTTAGGAATCTTTTATTTTCTTGTGTTTCGGCTTGGATTCCAATTCAGGCTAATGACTGGTAAAGAAAAGAATAGACAGCAACTTGCAGGTAGCTCCTAAAGTTGACTGTTTTATCAAAGACCTTTGCGTACGGCTCTTTAGTAAGTGAAATTATATGTATATGTTTTATAAGTGCATTTGATTTTCACGCGGGCTTTATTTTTTATTTTATATAAGAAAGCTAATGCTAGCCAGTATCTTCCTGTGAAAATACCTCGGTGAAGGTAGAAAGTGTAACCTTCCCTTGCCTTTGACCCCACGACCCTGTGAAAAAAATGCCAACCGAGGGCCGTGCCACACGTTAAAAGAGCAGTTAATTCTTCTTGAGAAAGAAAAACTTTAATGTTCAACTCATCCGTATGAAGAACAACGAACATAATCATCTCAGAAAATAGACGACATGACAGAAAATATTTTTTGCAGTTAAGTATGTTTTCTGGTGACTGGAAGGAGAAAGAAGATGAGAGAGAATAAGATTTTTTTTTATGTGCGTGTGAGGAGGTCGGAGCCAGATTACCAAGGAGAAGAAAGAACAGGGAGGAACTGATGAAGGAAGAAAAGCAAATCCCTCCTTCCGGCTGCCGCGCCTGCAGGAAATTCTGTTCCTCCCCGACCTTCGCCTCCCTGGGGCCCAGTCCCCTCTCCTCAGGAGCCGTGGCCTGGTCTAGGCCACGCTCACCTTTCCGAGGCACCGTCTCCTTCCCTAGCCGGGCGTCCAGCCCCAGAGGTGCAGCGGCTCTGAGCCACCTGAGGTCCAGGCCCCCGGCCTGCCTGTGCTCCATCCCCCTGTCTCATGAACCGAGCCCTTCGCCTCTGACAACCTTCCCGGGGTCTGCCGCGTCCTCCGGGACAGCCATCTCTCGGGGACTGCCTCAGGGGTCACGTCCCTTCTGGATGAGGTCACCTCCCTTCTGGATCCAGGCAGAGCTCGGCCTGGCGAGACCGTTTAAATGGAACTTGTCCTCGTTGGGCGACGCAGTTTACCAGAACTTTCTGCAGTGGCAGGAATGTTCTGTGTCCGTGCTGCCCAGCGCGGTCGCCAGCAGCCACGTGGGGCTACTGAGATGTCACACGCCAGGTGCTCAGTGGCCACACGTGGCTGGTGGCTACTGGATTGGACAACACAGTGTTAGAGAGATCCCAACTCTGAGGGGAATGGGCCGGTTCAGGACCCACCATGCTCAGCATGAGCTGAGTGACACCCTGGGCAGTCGTGGTCTCGGAAGGAAGGTGTGGTGGATGCAGAGGTGCAGCACCGGCCCCCAGCCGTGCCCCCCACAGTGCGTCGCCTTGGCAGGGGACAGGAGTAGCCCCACGTACAGGAGGCTGAGTCCGGCCGGGCTGAACGGTGGCTCGGCTAATACTTAGCTGTGGGACCCTGGGCACGTATGTGAATTCTCTCAACCTCTGTTTCTTGATTTCTGAACTGGAGATAATGATACCTATTTCCCAAGGTTGTCGCTAAAATTCAATGGGGTCATAACTGGAAGATCATAATGGTTCCTGGTGTGTCCTAACCACCCACTCAGTCAGCCAGCGACCAGAAGCTGTGAGTCCGTCGTCAGCCTCAGGCCCCTCTGACTTCAACTTAAAATACCCATTAGCCTTTTGAACTGAAGTACTGAGTAAACACAGGATGATTCAGGCATTGTTACTACATTACCTATGCGTTTCAAACACGTTTTATATATAACTGTCCTTATGTGAAGTTGCTGTTTTGAGGATAACGTGTGTGTATGTGTGTGTGTGTGTGTCCCTGTGTGTGTGTGTAAAGACTAATGTTTATTCACACCGTACATTTGATACGGCAGGAGCAGTCCAGCTAATAGTGCATGTGGAGAGACGTACTTGACCTCTGGAGACCCGAGACCCAAGCCAGTTGCTGTTTCCATCACTGTCGTTCACGCTTGTTGACAATTGAAATCCCCTCTTGAAGGAGTGGTTTCACGTTCCTGGACACTGCAGCCAGGTTGCGAAGGGCCAGAGACCTGGAGGGACATTGTCTGTGCATCCTGGAGAATTTCTTCAGCCCTCTTCCCTTGTGGCTCTGCACCAGCAGGGCTTGGGGTGGATGGGGCTCCTCGGGAAGAGAGACTAGCTCATAGTGGGGTGGGGAGCGGGGCTCCCCCTGGCTGACTCCGTAGGGACAGCGCTAGACCCCGAGGACAAGCGGGTCAGACGCCCAAGTGGATTCTTCTGGCCGGACATGCAGGTGCGGTGTGCCGCTCAGCTCCATCGCTCCACATCTGTGTCAAACAGGTCCTGTGTCTGACGGGAGGAGGAGGAGCGTTTTGGGAAACCTGTATTTACTGAGCATCTTCACTGTGACTTGCGCTGTAAATAGTCCAAGAGCCTCCCCTGAGGGGAGGCTGACTAAGGGTGTCAAAGCGGGTGCCTGCATGTGCCCAGCGGGGCGTGGGGCAGCGGCAGCAGTAGAATCACAGATCCAGATGGGTCCCCGAGGGCCAGGCCGCCTCCCACCCTCTCTGATTCCTGCCCAGGGAGGAGCACTCTCCGCTTCCAGGGGAGCTCTGACGGGCTGTTTTGTGTTGTTTTATTCTAAAGGCTTCACCACAGGCAGGGGGACCAGGGAACAAAGATGGGGCGTGAGCAGCTGCCAGGGACCTGGAGGGTCCTCGCTGCCATCTCCCCGACTCTGCCCCTCCGCTCACCCCCAGCAATAAAACCATCCCCCAGCAATGTTCTTTCTGATTCCATGGAATTGTTTCTTCCCTTCGGCCCTTCTCTCCAGAATTATGTAGACCTGAAGGTGCGTTTTGGACAAAACAGTAGAATCCCCTTGTTGCCAGCAAAACAGTCGAAAAATCAACAGGAAGGTAGACAGATGAGGAAGCCCCTCCAGGAAGGACGCAGTCTCATCAGATCCGGGACTGTGGTTCTCTCAAATAGGTTTTAGCAAAAATGTTAATCCCTCCCTCCCTCCCTTCCTCCCTCCCTCCCTGTCTCCTTCCTTCTTTCCTTCCTTCTATAATATACTTTAAGTTTGCATTTTCAGCATAGAAAAATCTTTCCCAACAAGTTTTGCATACTGATGTAAAAATGAAAATTCAACCAAACTAATTTTGAGTAATTAACTTAAGTCACTAATAGATATTGATGTTCTTTTATAATAGGAATAAATCAAGTGTAAATCAAATGGCCTAATTCTCAATGTTAATTTCCTGGGATTTCTTTTCTATTCTGTGTGTATGTTTTTATTAAAACAGTGATAGTATTTTAAAATATCTATGAATAAAACCATATGAATGTTCCCATAAGTTACTTAGTCACACGTTTTTCTCTGTCCTGGGTGCTCACGAATTTAAATTACTGCATATATACTAAGTTACGTTTATATAACTTATATAATTTATATATAAGTTATATATAAAATTTACATAATTTATATACAATTATATATCAGTTGACAGTTGACTGACCGGGCTAATAAAAGTAACAAGTCTTAAATCCGGATCAGTTGATCAGTTGACATACAGTAACAAAAGTCTTAAATCTGGAAGTCACTTACATTTAAATGGATATCTAATTCCGAGAAGTTGTACTGGTCCAATTTCATGGGTTCCTTTCACATTTCATATCTGGTCAGAAAGATGTTGAAATGGCTTTTTCCCACTAACATAAATGATTTAAAACGTGCCAGCCACACACCGTGAAAAAATACATACAGAGCGTTGTGATAATTGGAGTAATTAGCTGTCTGGAAGAGGCTCCAGGAAGCCTTTTGAAGCGGTCTACAGGCTGCCCCTCTGGTCACCTCCGCTGTGGAGCTGCCTGGTGGCGGGGGCTGCCATAGGAGGTGACACCTGGCAGATGTTCATGTTATGGGGAGAGTTTCAAAGCCAAAGCTGGTTTTTGTCTACAAAGGTTCCATGGGAGGAGCTACCTCAAGCTTTTATTAGCCCGGATCATGATTATCACATAATCCTTCGGCAAGATCCATGGGTGAGACCTCTAGGATGTGCCTTTAAATCTGAGAAAAGACTCAGGTTGGAGGGAGCCAAAGACACACCTGATCATGTCCTCGGTTCTGCCCAGGGTTTGCTGCTCACCCCGTTCCCCAGTGTTCTTTTTAGAATTTTAATGAAATACTTCGCACATATAATGGAAAAGGTGTAACATGTATTTACATGATGAGGCATGGTAAGAAAGCATCTGCGTGTGCTGTTAAGAACGGAACGTGAGACAGAACACCGCCCGCATCCTCTTCCTCAGCCCGGTTCCTCTCCCCTTTCTCCCACCTAACCACTTTCCGTGATGAGAATGTTCTGTCTTATGGTTTTACTGTACACGTGTGCAGCTGTAGATGATCTGTTGTTTTATATGTTTTTGAAGTTTATGTAGAGTCATACTCTGTTCTGCATTTTAAAAACTCATTATTTTTTGAGCTCTATCCATGTAGATGAGTGTAGCTAGGCTTTATTAATTCTCACCACTAAATATTCTACTCTGTGGCTCTTCTAAAAGTTTGTAATGATCTGTGGAGGGACACTATTGGAGTTGTTCCTAGTTGGATTTTTTTTATTTTTTATTTTTTGCTGTTATAATAATGCTGCTAAGACCTTTGACCTTTCTCAAGTCTCTGATACATAGGGGTGTGTGTGTGTGTGTGTGTGTGTGTGTGTGTGTGTGTTTCCCTGGGGGATATATTTAATCCTTGACAGAATTGGTCAATGGATGTGTGGACCTTCAAATATAATGCTAAGTGATTTTCTAAAGTGGTCGTAGAAATTTAAATTTCCACTGGTTCTCAATGTTCTGAGTTCTTATCAACATGGAAGCTATTAGGGTTTCTAATCCTCACCTCCAATCCTGAGTATCCAATGGTATCTCATAGTTTAAATTTCTCTGGTTTTATCTGAGCATCTTGTCATAAGTTTATTGGCCATTTGTGTTTCCTCTTCTTTGAAGTATCTGCTTCTCATATGTGCCAATTTCTCTGGTGAATTGTTTTTATCTGTTGATATATGGACATTCTCTATATGTTCTATGTAAAATCTTTTATGGGTATTACTTTCACCACATTCGTGGATTAACTCTTCACTTTTTTCATAATGTGTTTTGATAAAGAAAATTTTACTTGTAATTCATTTCTTGTCATTTTCTATTGTTTACATCTGCTAATCTCTCACATTTTCCATTTTCTTTTTCATTTTATGCTATAATCTGGCTAATCCTTCAAGTTTGTCTTCTAGTTCACTGAGTTTTTTTTCAAGTTATGTTCTGATTTGTGGTATAACCTATCATTTAGATTTTAATATCAAAGATTCTTTTTTTATTTCTAAAAGCATCTGTTTTATCTTTTAAGTCTGAATATTTTTTGATAGTCTTATTGTTTTGCTCATTAAAATGTTTTTTACTTCTTTGTCTATTTGGAACATAACCATTTTATATTCTGCATCAGATAATGTTAGTATTTGAGGTTATCGAGGCTTTAAATTTTTGCTCTGCTGGTAATTCTGACTCTCACCCATGGCGGCTGGGTCCCTCATCTTTATTTTGTAATGTTCGATTATGAGCTCATGTTTGGCTAAATTCAGTCTGTGAGAATTATGAGGAACCTGTATTAAGCACTATTGCTGAATTGTGTCCTCCCCCAGATGCATATGTTAAAGTCTAACTCCCACCATGACTGTATCTGGAGATAGGACCTCTTGGAGGTAATTAAGATTGAGTTGGGTCATAAGGGTGGGGCCCTAATCCAATAGGACTGTGGCCTCATAAAGAGAAGAAGGAAAGACCTCTGTCTCTCTCCCCATTACGTGAGGACAGGATGAGAAGTTGGCTCTCTGTAATCAGAAAGAGAGCTCTCACCAGACCCTGACTGCCCCCGCTGATGCCCTGATCTCAGGTTTCTGGCTTCTAGACCTATAAAAACATAAATTCCTGTTGCTCGAGCCGCCTTTTCTGTGGTGTTTCGTTAGGGCAGCCTGAGAGGACTGTGTTTTCCAGGTTAGAGTTGCCTGGACTTCAGTTTGGCATCAGGTTTTCCTGACAGCCCAGGTGATGTAGGTTTGAACTCCGGACCTGTGTGAGAACTGGTGTCCTGTGGAGGAGTCTAAGGGAAGACACTTATATTATCACCTTCATTATTTACTTGTTTATTTTCATCCCGGGAGTAGCAGGGATAGGTGGGCTTCCTGTCTGTTTCCTCTGCAGAGGGCATCAGCTTCTGGCATTTTCACCAAGAGAAGGTTCCTCCGCGCACAGGTGGAATTTAGGAGTCGCAGGCTTAACAGCCCTCGTTCGCTCTCATTTATATCCAAAGCGTGGGGGCTGGTTTTAGCCGTTTGTTCTCAGGGTGGCCTTGGCTCCAGGGTTTTCTTACTAGTCTGGTTTTAGTCTGCGGGTTCCGTCTTTTATTAACTTACTTCATTTTCTGGAAAGCTCAGCAATGTATTTATATGTAAGTTAGTTATAATTCAGCCAGCGCGTAGGTGTTTATGACAGGAGAGTTTTCCTGAGCATTTAGTCCACTCTGGTTGGAAATCCAAGTCTGGCCCAGTGATCTTCGCCTTTAAAATACCACATCCTTCCTCTCTCACCAGGCAAGTGCGCTATCGTTAGGAGAAACAGACTTCGGTATTGGAAAACAAAACGTATTTCAATCTCATCCGTTGGTTTTAAATGTTTGCTCTGGGGCTGGGATGGAACGGAGGGTCAGAGGGAGCCAGACATCTGCATCAGCAGAGTGGCCCTGTTTTTACTGTTTCTTTACTGAGACGCTGCGTAGAATTCCCACTGCGAGACTGAATCTCGAAACTGGTGCGGTGAGTCTCATGCGTTAGTGAGGAAACGCCACATTCTAGGAGCTGGGGGATGGGGGGCTCAGGTAAGACTGTCAGCTCCGAGTTTCAGCCCCGTTTCCCCTGCGTCGGAGTGCTCGGCCCTGCTCCACAGATCACACTGGTCTGCGTCACAGGTTTGTACCTTGATCTTAACTTGTATCTGTCATTCGTTAGTAAGGATTGTTCAGCCACACGCGCAGCAGAGGAGAGACCAGGTGTGAGCATTTATGTGATTACTGCTTGGCATTAATTGAAAGCAAAGAAGATCTAGAGCCGTGGGTGATGGGACTTTCTCGGTTTTACGGAGAGTGAGCTAAGACTGTGATCCAGACGGTTCCACTCCAAATCCACTCATTTATACATCCGGTTTTAATGAGATACTATAAAACCAATCTTTAAAGTAAGTCAAAACATTCTTTTCGATGTATACGCTTCAACTTTTTTAGGTCAATATGAGAAAGTGCAATGAACCTAATTTACTAAAATGATAGAAACATACTTACTACGGATTGAGATTTTGTTTTCCAGGAGCCAATGAAACGTGGACTTTTCATTTATCCTGTCTCATTTCACTTCGAAACATAATTTGGGCCATCGTTTTCCATTGCCTTACCAGAAAGGCAGAGTAACTTAAAAAACATTCTCTGTTCTCTACTTTATTTTTTTCTCATTGTAGATTTAAAAGAAAAAAAATACACAGAGGTTAGAATCAGAGGATAATCCTTAAGCTATTTCCACTTGGTCTTTCTAAATCATAATTTCCGGTGTTTATAGCTTCTAAAATGAAATTGAATCAACTGATGGTTAAAAAATTAGGTAATTTTTTTTTTTTACTTTGAATCAAATTGTTATATATGTTATATATATGTTAATATATAACATGTGTAAAAATGAAGAAAACTAGAGAGATTTGCGAGGCTCTGATTGGAATCAAATGGTTTCAGTTATAGGTAGAACATCAAGTCAAAATGAACTATACTGCCTTCATCACACAGGTCTTTGCAAACGTGAGGTTTTTATTAT